TGACATATCTTTCACTGTAAAAATTTAAAAAAAGTTTAAAAAATATGCACAAAAGCATTATGAATATGACATTAGGTAATTTCACATGTATCTTACTTTTCTTATTTCTGAGACAAAATACCTGACACCCAAAGATAAGAGGAAAGGTTTATTGTAGTTGTAGTTTGTAGGGTTTCAATCCACAGGTAGTTGGTTCCAATGCAGGGTGGCATGGCACAGGGGCATCACAGAGGAGAAATAGTTCTTGGTAGCAGAACGCAGCAGGTAGCAAGCAGCAAGCAAAAAGTGACCTTTCTGTCCCTTATATTCCATCCAGGCTAACTGCCCTTAGGGTAGGTAGCACTCAAACCCAGGGTGGGGCACCCTTAACCCAGAACTATGCCAAGGCAATCAGTGGACTGATTTAGTAATCACACACCCTTGATCCCAGCATCACACACTTTAGATCCAGTCACCTCTGAAAAGCCCCACCTATGACCACATGAGGCTTGGGGTGGGGTGGGGGGGGAATCTAGGTATAAGCCATTACAATGTTTAAGCTATTTTCTCAAGAAGAATGATTTAAATAAGGCAATGGAGAAATCCGAAAATGTATTTTACACTGAATGAGATTTTTACCTCTAGAGGTAAGTTTTCTTGAGCAGCCAAGGAATAAAAATATTCATGATCTGGAGTTAAAAATTCATCTGTTCTGTCCTCAGAAGATTCTGGTGAACATGATGATAGTGTGGCCTGATCCTATTAATAATGAAAGAAATCATATTTAAATTGGTGTTCACCATAAACCAATCCTTTAAAGCTGGATGCAGGGTTAATCAGAGGGTCACAGAAGACCACCCAGCAGTCAGCTGAACACTGAGCTGGCTCTCCCAGTCTGTTGGTGCGTGTGCCTCTGCTCACCTTCGTGGTGAAGAGGCAGTTGTGAACTGCTTGGAATAAGTGTAGAGGAATGAGCGTCCAGAGTCTCAGCCTCTCAAGTGGGGAACAGGTAGGGATGAGACAACTTTTCTGTCTAAAATTCTAAGTGAGAAGAGAGGCCCCAGACCACTGAAGCTGAGGACCCAATTTACAACCCCTGATCCCTCCAGGGCACAGACATGATCCAAAGTCCACACTTTGGCATCGGCCCACACATGAGGAGGCTGAGGCTGCTCAGACCTCACAACTCCTTCAGGTATTACAGTTTAAAGGAAAGTGAAGGAGCAGATTTTTTTTTTTTTTGCCACAGGGTCTCACTTTGTAATGCAGACTGGCCTTTAACTCATTAGGTCGCCCAGGCTAGCAATCCCCTTGCTTTAGCCTCTCCAAGGAGCAGGATTTTTAAAACAACAATGCAACCTCAAGAATGAAAAGCTGGGCTATCATAGCTTTTCTCCTGATTGCCTGCCCTGCTTTCTCCAGGGTGTTTTTATCTTGATTTTTCATCTTTTACTTGGACCAAGCTCCTTGTGCAGAGACAGTTTCTCCCTCATGCTTCACTTTTACTTTTTCAAGTCAACTTTGCTTTTAAAAAAAAAGAATGAAAAGCTAGGTGTAATGATGCACACCTGTAATCCCAGCACTCAGGTGGCTGAGGCAGGAAGACTGCTGCTAGTTCAAGGCCACCCTGGGCTACATAGTGAGTTCAAGGCCAGTCTGAACTATATAGCAAGACCCTGTCTCAAAAAAACAAAATAAAACAGAAAACCCCCCCAAAATATTAAAAAGTAACAGGGCCAGGGATTTAGCTCAGGGGTGCTGCCACCTGCCTTAAAAGCACAAGGTCCTGAGTTCAATCCCCAGTACCAAAAAAAAAAAAAAGTAACAGAGCTTTTCCATTACATCCCTTCATTTTTTCTTATTTTCTTACATTGAGACACTGCTTGTGACATGGTTAGACAAGTAGTTCTTTCCTCCCATCTTCAGGTAACCCTTTGCAAAGAGTTTTGGGGCTTCTCTCCTTGGACACCGCTTTTGCCACAGCATTCCCCTCATTACTGGGCACTTAAGAGTTTTATCTCTCATAGCACCACCCAAATTTACTAAATGAGCCTGGCTGCGTCATGCCTTTCCCACTTCCTAACTAGACCTTCCTCTCCAGCCTAGTTAGTGTGCTCAATGTAGCACATCCTTCTAGCTCTTACATGACAGATGGGATACAATGTCTGTGTAAACAGTTTGTATGATTACAACACTGTACTGTGTTCAAAGACTTTATTATTTTACCACGATTGTACCTTTATATTGTGCCATTCAAATTGCTGTCTCTATCCTATAGATGACCATGGCCCCATATAGTTAGTATATCAAAATACTATAGATTCTATAGTATTATATTCTATAGTATTATATATAGTATTATTTTCTATAGTACTATATTCTATAGTATATATGCTATTGCTATTACAATATATAATACCTTGGTTCTAGTTTGTTAGATCCCTGGGCTCAATGTGGCTCTCCAAGCCACATTACTTACATTGTAAGATTTCTCAGTGGTCACAGACATGTCAGAACTTGCTTGAAAGGCTTCACTAGGCTCTGGCTGCTCATTTTTCCTGGATGAAAGATGCCTGATACCTAGTGATTATAATGCAATCGGGGTCACAGTCATGCAGTGATACTGGGATAGCATGAAAAGAACAAAAGGCAGTGTGAGAAGAGAGATGTATATGCATTCTGCCAAGAGCAGCCAAGTCTTATATGTTAGGTTTAATGCAGAGAGTACAGACTGTTAGTTTAGCCTGGACCCAAAATGCAGCCCTGGATCATCCACCCTGTTGTCCACCCAATCAAGAGTGATTAAAAAAAAAAAAGAGTGATGCTTGATGAGGAGAAGATTCTAAATACAAAAACAAAACAAAAAACTCATGCCAACAGATTTTCTGCTTAAGATGAATGATAATTGTAGATATCCTTTGCTTTGACTCAATAATATTCCATTATCCTGATCATGAGCAAATTATTGGGTAGATATACATAGTCTTCAGTTGTAAATGTCATCTATCTCTGGATTCCTTTGGCATAGACCCAGTGGATTTCTTTCTAGCCTAAAATATAATGCAAAGAAACAAGCAGGAGGGACTGATAGCCCACCTCCACCCTTAGGTAAGGAAGGTTTGATTTCTTGCCAGGTTAGAACCAGAATCACAGTCAGGACATGAACTTTATCTTACTTCCTTTGGATAAAAGGATCTTGTTTCAGTTACAGAAAAATTCATGAATCTGAATATCTATGCATGTAGGAAGCACAGTAGGGTGTAAGGGTTATGCTGCTTTCCCTTGGCATTCAAGTTCCCAGAAATGTAGGAAAGGAGAGAGGATCAAGCAAAGGAAATGTGCCAGAAGGCTAACACAGTTTTGAGAGCTGATAACTTGTTAGAGCTCACCCAACCAAATTTCCCCAAATGAACTTACTGGTGAAGCTCTGTGGCCCAGGCTGCCTGCCACATTTCTCACCGTCATGGTCACAGTTGTCCATTTTCCCCCATTTGACATCATTTCCTCCTGGCTCTTCCTTCTCTCTGTGAAACTCCACAGTTCTCTGCCAGTCCATATTTTTAGGGCCCCTAGCAGGGGGCTGCAACAAGGGCCTAGACCCGTGTACAGCCTCACTCTTCGAAGTCGAACTGCTCTGAGGATGCCAAGGAAGGACCGGGAGCTCTCCACTAGCTGCCTTCTCAGCCGTTTCTTTCACCTCC